TCACTTTGGATGAGAAGCACTATTTGCTTTTTGACAATGAATTATGCTTTCCCACCCTCACCCCATACTTGGGATTCAACCCAGGGCCTTTGCACTAGGCTATATCCCCATCCTTGTTATTTTGATAGGGTCTTGCTAGATTGCCCAGGCAGGACTTGAACGTGATTCCCTCGGTGCTGGGGTTATAGGTGTATACCACTATGCAGCCCTTGGCGAATGACACTGGGTGGCTCACGACAGAGATCAGCGATCCAGGCGATTCTTCTTTTTTTATGTGGGGTGTTTTGTTTTGTTTGAGTCAGGGTCTCACTATGTAGTTTAGGTTGGCCTTGACTATGTAGCCCAAGCTGGCCTGAAACTCATGATGATCCTCCTCCTGCCTCAGCCTCCCAAGTGCTAGAATTACAATTGTGCACCATCATGCCTGTTGTTTTGTTTGTTTGTTTTGTTTTTTGTAGTGCTGGGGATTAAACCCAGGGCCTTGGCAAACTCTCTATTACTAAGATATCCTCAACACCCCCCCTTTCTTTTTTTGGTACCGGGGATCAAACTCGGGTCCTTGCACTTGCAAGGCAGGTGGCAGAACCACTGAGCTAAATCCCCAGCCCACCTCAACCCTTTTTTTGAGGCCTTCCTGCTTCAGCTTCTCAAGTAACTGGCATTACAGTTGTACACCGCCACTCTAGGCTCCCACATGATTCTTTTTAGAACCAGGATCCACTGTGTTCTAGGCTGGCCTTGAACTCACTCTGTAGCCCACATTAGCCTTGAATTCCTCCTGCCAGGTGATTCTTTGTGAGAGGTTTGACAAGATTCTTGAAGGTAGCCTTTCTTCATTCATTTATTGAGCACATCCAAATGAAAAGCCCTGAGAATCAAAAGAGAAAAACTCAGGAAAACCTGGAAAACATGTGGTTTGTTTGGTTTTCTTTTTGTTTTTGTTTTTGTTTTTTTACAATGACCTGGAACTCACTATTTAGTCCAGGCTGGTCTCCAACTCACAGTGATCCTTCTGCCTCAGCCTCCCAAGTGCTGGGATTACAGGCGTGCGCCACCATGCCCAGCAACATGTGGTTTTTGACGGCAGTAAATGCAGCAGAAGACACACCTGTCTCTGTGGAAACCTCTCACTGTTAACTACTGTCAGCTGGTGTCTTTTATGTCTCTTCAGTTTTTTGAGACAGAGTCTTGCTGTGTAGTCCAGGCTTCTTTAAACTCACGATGTAGTTCAGGCTGACCTTAAACTCATGGCAATCCCCCTCACGCTTCCCCCTCCCAAGTGCTGGGATCACAGGCATGTGCCACCCCGCCTAGCTATGGTGCCATCTTTTCAATTCTATTTGAAGGGAACAACTGATTCTTAGTTTAGTGCCTTCATCTCCTGCAGAGATGCTATTGTTCAGGGAGACAAGGCACTTGGATTTCCCATCCCATTGAATTTTCCCATAGCAAACACTACACAATTACGTTGTTTCATTGGTTTTTATTAACTTTATTTAGGACTCAAACACCACTAAATCACTTATTTTCACACTTACAAGGTTGGGTTTTGCTAGAAATTCACACATTAATTCAGTGAGCATTAGTATATTCTTTTTTTGTGTGTGTGGTACGGGGGATTGAATTCGGGCCCTTGTGCTTGCAAGGTAGGCAAGCAGAACCACTGAGCCAAATGTTTTTGGTACAGGGGATTGAACTCGGGACCTTGCACTTTTGAAGCAAGTGGTGGCACCACTGAGCTAAATCCCCGGCCCTAGTATATTCTAATTACATTCATTCAGATGTTCCAAAGTGTTGGTCCAATGACCAGTTTTTGAAGGCAACAACTATCCTTCACAAGAACTAAAAAGTAAAATTATACACAAAACTTCTTCCTCTTCAATTTTTAGGTCATAACTTCTGACCACATGCATCCTTTGATGTTCAATTCCCTTTGGTGTGACACAGGGCAGAGATGTTCCAGTTCCTCACACACAAAGGAAATGGGGGCGGGAGTGCAGACAACTTGCATCTTCACCATTCATCACCCATGGTATCGCTAGAAGAGCTCAGACTCCTTGGCCAGGAGTGCTGCAGCTTTAGCCCGCGGGTAATACACTGTGGACCCAGCAGTCTGCAATGCGAAGTTCTGTCTGCTGGTGTTTCTGTCAGGTCACTGGTTGATATGTCTATGTCCACCAGTTGCTTCCTGAGTCTCGAACACAGTGTTGACAAATCACGCAGTCTGGTAACGAGTGAGCCGGCCAACACGCAAGCTCATCGGTAGCTGCACCTAACCACATGATGCTGCACCTAACTTGGGGAGCACAATGGAACACCGATACAGTGGAGATCCTAAACAGCTCCTTACACTTCACTATTTTTAAAAATCTACACACTTTTCAGCTTAATGTAACTGGGGCATGCAAACAAGATATTTGGCCTGGGGAAGAGAATCATTTCAAAACAAAAAGGTACAGAAACTAAATTAATAAAAATAAAATACTTTTTTGGTTTTTTTCTGAGATAGGGTCTCACTATTAGTTCAGGCTGGTCTTGAACTTGCAGTGATCCTCCTGCCTCAATCTGCAGAATGCTACGATTACAGGCATCTGCCACTATGCCTGGCAAATATAAAACACTTAAAGAGACGATAATGGCTTTATGGCTTTAGGAAATGGATAAGAGAAATCTGAACACCTTCTAAAATTCAGAATATTCTAAGAGAAATTGCACTAAAGAACTCAGAAGGGCTGGGGATTTAGCTCAGTGGTTCTGCTGCCTGCCTCACAAGCGCAAGGACCTGAGTTCGATCCCGGTACCCGCCCCTCCCCCCAAAAAAAACACCTCAGAAAATTAAAGGATTCAGCTTTAAAAAATATAGGAAATACTGCCAGATGTGGTATATGCCTATGATTCTTGCATTGGGAGGCTGAGGCAGGATCATAAGTTTAAGTCCAGCCTGGGTTATATAGCAAGTTCAAGGCCAATGAGACCTTGTCTCAAAATCCAAAAGTGGAAATATTAATTTCTGTTCAGTAATTAAAACTGAAATTTATGAAATAAAATGATTTACTCATAATAAAATTTTTCAGTACTGGCAACTGAACACAAGGAGCACCAAGATATATCCCCAGCCCTTTTTTTTTTTTTTTTTTTTTTTTTTGAGATGCGGGGGGGTCTCAGTTGCCTGAGTGGCTTCAATCTTGATTCTCCTGCCTCAGCCTCCCAAGTAGCTGGGATTTTTTTTTTTTTTTGAGACATCTCACTACATCAGGCTGGCCTTTAACTCACTATGTACTCCTGGCTGACCTCAAACTCCCAGCAATCCTCTTGCCTCAGCCTTCCAAGGTGTGTGTCACCACACCCAGCCAGGGATGGCTTTTTTTTGTTTTTTGGGGTTTTTTTTTGTGGTACCAGTGATCTAACTCCAGACCTTGTGCTTGAAAGGCAGGTGTCAGAACCACTGAGCCAAATCCCTGGCCCTCAGGGAGTGTTTTTAAAACAGGATTTTGTTATGTTACTCTTGCTGTCTCAGATTACTCACTGTGTAGCCAGGCTGGCCCCAAACTCACAATCCTGCCTCAGGCTGAGTGAAAGGATAACAGGTATATACCACCATCGCCAGCTTACACATTTTTTAAAAATACTGATTTTGAAAAAAAAAAAAAAAAAAAACGGGGAAGGGTGGATGCCTCCTGTAATCCCAGCACTCGGGAGGCTGAGGCAAGAGGATCGCTATGAGTTCGAGACCAGCCTGGACTACATAGTGAGTTCCAGGTTAGTCTCAACTACACAGTGAGACCCTGTCTCAAAAAACCAAAAATAAATAAATAAATTAAATTAAATACTGATTTTGGTCTGGCATGGTGGCACATGGCTGTAATCCCAGGACTTGGGAGGCTGAAGCAGCAGGATCACCACAAGGTCACAGCCAGCATGTACTATATAGTGAGTTCAAGACCAACCAGGATAATATAGTATGACTCTGTCTCAAAAAATAAAACAAAAAGAAATAAAATACCATTTTTTCGGAAGACCTAAAGACATGTGATTGCTATAATAAATGCATGTAATTTAATAAACTAGTTTAAATTAGGTTCAGGGCCAAGGATCTAGATCAACGGAACATCTGCCTTGCAAGCCCAAGGTCCTGAGTTTGATTTTTGGTACCAAAAAAAAAATAAAGTTCAGGGCTGGGGAGGTAGCTCTGGGTCAGGGATGTAGCTCAGCAGTACAGTGCTTGCCTGGCAAGCATAAGGCCCTGAGTTTGATTTCCAGTACAGCAAAAAAAAAAAAAAAAAAAGGTTCAATAAAGTAGGACCCGGGATTTGGCTCAGTGG